ATTGCAAAACTGAGCCGGTAAAACATCTTCATAGAAAAAAAAACTTGGTGGCAAAGACACTGTAATGGTTCTTAACAAATTTATTTTAGATATTTTAAGAACAACTAAAGTTTAGGCAAAAATCCATTTTTTGCCAGTCCAGTTGATCAGGTGGATAACTTTTTCAGGAAGCTGGACAGTATAATGTTTTGATAAAAAAAAAAAATGTAGTGATTAGGTTAGCAGTTTTCTTCTATGATACAAAAATGTTTAAAAAGTGTTCATAGTCAACTTGATTCATAATAACTTATAAGGTTGCAACATCATGTTGCAAACTTGTTGATTACATGTTGTAAACTTGTGCAAAATAGTTTTTGAAATGATATGTTGAACATGTTAGTAAAAAAAACTAGTTTGCAACATTTATATTGTCTTACCAACTTTGAGTAACTCAATTGTCATAATAATTTTTATACTGATTTTTTTTTAGTCAAAAATATTCTGAACGTATTTTTAATTTAGTGCAATTAATTAACATCATTTATAGTTGATGGAGTCCCTTTTTGCACTATAGGTAAAATGTGCTAGTAGACTAGTAGTAAAACATTTGGCTCGCAACCAGAAGGTTGGGGTTCAAATTACCTCTGCTGAAATTACTGTGCTCAATCTATTTCTCCGCACAGCACCTTTGTTTAAAAATTTTAGTTGTTAATGTTGTTTGTTAGTAAAAATGGTAATGTTAAGGTTTGAGACAAAATATTTTTAAAAAATGAGTAGCTCCCTTGACTAAAGTGGTCATTGGAGCAATAGGATGGTGAATTTATGAAATTAAAAAAAAAATTATTGTACTCATACAATTATAAAAATTTGGTATTTTGATCGGTTTTTAAAAAAACCCAAAAAACCCATAAAACCCAATAAAACCCAAAAAGACCCATTTGGGTTGGGTTTTTTTAAAAAACCCTGGGTTTTTTCCAACCCTGCCATGAATGTACACTTAAGGTGAAAAATTTTTCTCCTTTTTATGAAGTGATATCAATTGTGGAAAAAAAATAACTTAGCTGTCAATATTTTACAAAATACAGTTCCTAAGTTCACATTAAATCAGGCACTACTATATTATATCAAATTCAGGTATGCATTGCTTATTTGCATGCTGTAAAGTGTAATTATATTTTATGATTGTTAACCATCAATTTACATTATTTGTAAATAGTTGTATATAATATAAAGTCATAGTTGTAAATACCAAGACAATATGATTGTATATAAATTATGTTGAATTGCATTAGAAAATATGAGGCGTTTAACGCTAAACTTATAAAGTCGATTTTGATGTGAAACTACAAGCTATTTCTACAAAAATGTCGACTAAAATTGATTTAAAGTTAATTCCGGAGTTTAGTGAAAACGATCAATAATCAGTTGTTCGTTTTGCATTGTTTCCCCGCCCCCTCCGTCTCACAAATGGTGCATTTGCAGTATATCAACAGTTAGCAGAAAGTGATAAAGAAGATTTTAACAGGATAAAAGAGGCGTTGCTAAAAGCTTTCGCCGTTGATGCATTTACAGCTTACGAACAATTCGTTACAAGAAAGTTAAAGCATGAAGAGGCAGTTGATGTTTATTTGGCAGAACTGCAAAAATACTATACAAATACTTGCGCGAGCAAGAACACTTATGATTGAAGAACGGAACGATAGAACAAATGAAAATTTTGCTGCTGCTGCAACAAAAAGACATGCTGAGTTAAGGTTGCTTAAAGATCAAATGCAACTAGCTTGTTATGAATCTAAACTCCTGAATCATTTTGTAAGAGATTGTCATCTACGACATAGCAATCAAAGCAAGTTGGATCGGAGATGGGGGACAAGCGATGTTTTGTGTTACTTATGTCAAGAGAAAGGACACATATCAAGAACGTGTCCAAAAAATGTGCCAAGGGAGAAGATCTTTGCGCCAGCTCTCTCCCCAAACAATCAATAATGGCGTTACCTACTATACGCTTGGACATCTTGGACGGCGTTCTTCCTGATGTGTTGATTGACTCTGGATGTACCTGCTGTATCATTTATAAAAAATGTGCGCCAAAAATTACGAAGAAAGTAGTTAGCATGGTAACTGTAAATGGACAACAACAGTGCGAAGGCTTTAGCTGAATTTGAATTGTCACGCCAAATGGGAATGAAGTTTTTGTGGAAGCACTTGTAGTTGACTTCAAACCACTTGGTTATTGTTTTTTGATGGGTATGGATGGAATAGTGGCTTTTGGTGGAGTATCAATATATGCAACTGGTGATGTTTGTTTTATGGGAAGAAACGAATCATGTTTACTTGGACTAAGAAGTGATATGCTAAAAGATGTCAGAAATTTGAATATAACAGCTCGAGATTTCACTGCTTTGTTTGAAAAACAAAATTGAGAATGGATAATTACCTGGAAATGGAATAATAATTCTTAACCTGAAACTTTAGTGAACAAGATTGCTGAATACACTGTTGGGATAAAACATGATTACGAAAAAGAAATTGAAGGATGGATAGAGAAAAAATGGCTGCAAAAGTATGATTTGAAGAAATACGGTCCAATAAAAGGTTTGGTTCCTCTAATGGCAGTCGTGCAGCGAAATAAAGGAAAAGTACAACCAGTATTGGACTTCAGGGAGCTGAACACGTTTATTGAAGCATTCACTGCGAACACAGATGCATGTGCTGACAAACTTCGAGACTGGAGACGGTTCAGAGAAAATGTTTCAATAATTGATTCATCTTCACCTTACATGCAACTAAAAATTGATGAGAAACTTTGGGCTTACCAAACTGTTGTGTTCGGTGGAAAAAGATTTTGTTTAACACGTTTGGGATTCAGACTAAACGTTGCCGCAGTCATAATGAAAGCAGTGTTGGACAAAGTGCTATCGCAAGACAAAACAATCTGGAAAGGAATGTCATCATACATTGATGATATTTTTGTGAATGAAGACATAATACCTGTTCATTGCGTACTTGATCATTTGGAAATCTATGGGCTTCATTGCAAGCTGATGGTCTGCGTACCCATTGGAGCAAGAGTTCTTGGTTTACAAGTCGGAATGGATAATAAAAATTTGTGTTGGAGAAGAGATAAAGATTTTGGTGAAATTCCGAAATCACTAACAAGACGTACCATCTTTTCTTTGTGAGGTAAAAATGACGGGAAATCTTCCAGTTTGTGGTTGGTTGCATGTAGCCTCGTCATATGTTAAAAGAACAGCAAATGCTTTGAGGAAAACGTGGGATGAAAAAATAAAATGCAATTATCTAAAGAAAATGCTAAATGATATGATACAAAGAACACAAAACGACGATCCTGCTAAAGGAATTTTGAGTGTTTACAGTAACGAGGCAACAATTTGGGTAGATGCTAGTTCAATAGCACTAGGCGTGGTTGTCGAGGTTGATGGCAATATAATCGAAGACGTTTGTTGGTTAAGAAAAGATGACACAACACATATAAACATGTCTGAACCTGATGCAGTAATTAAAGGATTAAATATGTGCCTTAATTGCAAAATGGAAATTCTACACATCTGCACTGATTCGAAAGCGGTATTCCATTGGGTTACCGACTCACATGAAAATCTAGATTGAGAACAAAAGCTTCAAATAAAATGCTGATAAGAAGAAGACTTCATAACATTGCGAATATAGTGGAAGAATACTAACTCAAAAGAGATATTAAGTTTGTCGCTTCGAAGTTTAACTAAGCCGATGCCCTTACTAGAGTGTCCAATAGTTGGTTAAAATTGGTTGATAAACTCTATGAAATGGCAGCAAGTGGCATTAGTAGTACTTTGTTATCTCCCAAAGACATCAAGCAGGTTTATAGATCTACAGGACATTATGGCGTGAAGAAAACATTGTACATCGCTCGTAAAATTGACCCATCAGTGAGCAAGGAAGATATAAAACAAGTGGTTGAGAAATGCATAACCTGTCAATCAATCGATCCAAATCCAATGAAATGGCCGAAAAGGGGAAATAGAAGTAAAAAGAACGTGGCAACGACTTGGCATGGACATAATTCATTATGAAGGGTAGCACTATCTTACTTTAATTGGCTGTAGACCAACACGGTATGCAATATGGCGATATCTTAAAGATCAAACCAGTGCTTGTGTTATTCAAGAACTAAAAGCGATATTTCTCGAACGAGGAGGTCCAGATGAAATACTGACGGGCAATGATACTGCATTTCAAAGCACATTGTTTTCTCAGTTTGTGAATAATTGGAACGATAAACTTCAATTCAGGTGCGTATCTTCAGGAAATGGAATTGCAGAACGATGTCACCAAACTGTCAAAAAAACGGCAAAGAGAGTTCCTTGCAGCATACTGGAGGCAGTTTATTGGTATAACATTAGTCCAAAAGATAGTTGTAAGTCTTCAACTGCACCTGCAAATAAGTTATATCAATACTGCAAATAAGTTATATCAATACTGCAAATAAGTTATATCAATACTGCAAATAAGTTATATCAATACTGCAAATAAGTTATATCAATACTGCAAATAAGTTATATCAATACTGCAAATAAGTTATATCAATTAGAGTAAGAGGAATTGATAACAACAAGAATGCACATGATCCTCGAAGAAGATAACCAATAAATTCAAACTTGGCGATAAAGTATGCGTTAAACCCCCGGATAGCCGATGCAACTCTCAATATAAGATTGCATTAGAAAATATGAGGCGTTTAACGCTAAACTTATAAAGTCGATTTTGATGTAAAACTACACGTGCATGGATTGCTTTGTTTTTTGTAAATGTCATTTTTTAGTAAAAAACTATTTTTACAAAGCGTGTAATGAAAATGTTCACATTAAAATTGTTTAAATAAAAAACTGAATCATGCAAGTTATAATCATATTCTTGATTGAATGTGTTCGCTTTTAAATTTTAATTAAAAAAATATTTACAGTGTTACATTTAGTATAACAATATTACTGCAGTACTCAAATTCATCTCTACAATTTAAGGTATTTTGTGGGATCACCAAATTTTAAAGATGGTATGTTGTTAAGAACAAACTATTACAATGCTGAATATAGCTTTAAACATATTGAAGCAGCTCAAATAAAGGTTACTTTTTTGTTATTAGATGTTTGTTTGTTTTGTTTTGCTTTCTTTTTTGTGTTTATTCGAAATCCATAATTATTTGTTTAACAAATAAAAATAATATATTTCATAATAATAAAAATAAAATTAAAAAAATTATAATATTTATACATGTTTAATAATTTGTTTAACGTTAGTTTGTTTTACAATAAATATTATATGATATGTATTTAATAATATTTGTTTAAAAATAATGTGTTAAATCATAATTTTAAAATAAAAAAAGGAAAAAGCTAGAAAAAAAAAAAAACTAGCTCAGAAGCTGCTAGGTTTTGATTGTCCACAACCTGATGATTTTGATAGAGAACAACCTCAATTTCTAACTCATGTGGTCCCCATATTAGTTTTGTCCAACTTTATCAACAAGGAATCTTGGCTGCTTTATACATGCCTTCATATATAACTATATTTAACTATATAACTGCAGTTGTCGTTAATCACAGTGTTGAGCACCACATCAAACTTGTTCAAGAGTTTGTTGCTGAAATTCATAATGAAGGTCTTCTACAGGATATCATGCAAGTTGTGCAAAAAAACTGGAAAGAAGTTGGGCAAGAAATGAAATAAAGCAACTTTATGTAATTTTTGTGTGATTTTTGAATTTATTTGTCTTTTAAATTTTGAAGTTATTTGTCTTCTAAATGCCTTGAATGACTAATGTGAACATGTATTACCTCATAAATAAAAGATTTTTTTTTTCAGACCAAAAATAACTGAAATATTAGTGAAAAATGAACAATTTTCTACTGTTCAGCCTAATAATCACACATTCTCTTATATGAAATAACCTTGTACTGATACTCTTTGACTTAGAGACCTAGGATTTTTTTGGTGGGTCTCAGAATCTAATAAGGATGATTGAGATACAGTGCATTTGCCATAGTGGTGTAGTGGTAGAGCCCTTGTTTCATAAGCAAGTGGTTCCAAGTTCGATCTCCACCTTATCCCTGGTAGTAACACGCTCAACTCGTTTCTCAGCGCACGGACCTTGTTCGTCAAGTTTTGTTTTAGGAGTTATAGAGTTTAGAGAGGGTTATAATTACAATTAAGTAGCCTCCTCGTTATATATATATATATATATATATATATATATATATATATATATATATATATATATATATATATATACATACATATATATGACTACATTTTCCTAATAAAACCTGCATTAGAATATTAAATTTCTAAGTGTTTTTTCTTTTCGTAAGCCTTAATTTTTGAAATACAAGCCTTGACAAACAAGGCTACTCCGTCGAAAAAAAAGTGGAACTTGGTGCTACTAGAGACATAGTGGTAATGAAATTCAGAACTTCTTAATTACAAAGTTATCTTAAAGTATTTTATTAATCTACTTATTAAACTATTATTTTACAGAAATGGGAATCATGTGGTTTAAATCCTGATCTTCACATGCCAGATAAAAATTCATTTATGCCATGCAGCTTGGAAGTTAAAGTTACCAAGAAAGATGTATTTGCATTTATTCATTTTTTAATTTATTGAAAAAATGTAAACATTTTTAAAATTGCTTAGTGTTTTGATATTTTCTCATTTTTGTATTTTAGGTAAAGAATGTTCCTCATATTTTAAAGGTGTTTTTCAACTTTTTTTTTCAACATTTCGTTTTCTAAAATTTTTAATTACTTTATCTGCTGGAATTTTTAATATTTAATTTTTTTTTAAAAGTAGTTTATTAAAAAAAAAAAAATTAATTGCAGTTTATTAAAAAGATTTTAATAATATAAGAATTACATAGTTACATAATTTAGTTTATAGATAAAAATGGTATAAATGAAAAACACATAAATATATCATTTAACTTCTTACAAACAATTTTTTTTTCTTATATATATATTAGAAATCTCTTGAGTCATAGTTACAATAGTTCATCTGGTGTTTAACAATATTTTTTCAATAGTTTGTTATTTCGAGTCTAATAATTCTCTGATAATCAACATGAACTTTTCTTGTTCTTAATGATCTTCCTGAGAATCTCACATCTGAAGTAGCTCTATTTACTGATGATTCAACTTTATACGCTTATCTTGATAAAAAGTCTTCTCTTTTTTATTGCTTTCAGCCGAAGCTTTTATTGCAGTCAGCCGATCTTGAATCTGATCTCATTTTTGTAACAGTTGAATCTTGCAGTGGCTTGTGAATTTTAACTCCAACTAAACTCAGTTATCATCTCTATATCCATCAACCAAAATTCATTCTTTCTTGACTAATCATTCAGCTGCATCTTTTTACTGTATCTGCCCTGCATGCTCAAAAATTTTTACTCGTCTAGTATTTTTCATTGCATTTCAATCCCTTGGAACTCTCTCCCATCTTCATGTTTTTCTGACTTATACAACCTATAACTTTTAAATTCTTCTTTCAACCATTTCCTTCCTCTTTAACTCTTTTCTTTGTTTTCTAGTAACTCCCAACTTAATAGTGGTTGCTTGCAGCCTTGTAACCTAGTAAAAAAAATTTGAATTAAATAAATAAAAAAGTTTTAAGGATTTTTTTAAAAAGGATTTAAAAGTTTTTTTAAATTGGTCTTTATCAGCATGTTTTGTCTAAGTATTCAGATTTTTCAATAAAAGGGTTTTTCAATCTTAATGCTATAAAACAATTAAATGTAGAATAGAATAGAATGTGAAAGCATTTTATGTGAAAAAAAATAATCTATGTGAAAGCATTCTATGTGAAAAACAGTATAGTAAAAGAAAAAAAGTAAAAAACTTGTGCTGTTTTCTGAAGCTTTAACTATTTGTTTGTAACTTTTTTTTATCACATTTTTTATTTATTTTTTAAATCAGGATACAGAAATGATGCGCATTTGGTACAAAGCAGATGATACTTTCCTTTTGCCAAAAGCACTTATTAGTTTATCGATTAAAAGGTTTGGTATTCTTTATTATGGTTTTATATAATTGATGTTTTAAGCATTAGCTTTAAAGTTAAGCATTAGCCTTAGATTTAAGGTTTTTATTAATAAAAAAATTTTTTCAGTCCTGTTGCAAATAATAATCCTTTGGAAAGCAATTTATTAGCAATGTTTGTAGAAATTCTGAATGATGAGTTAAATGAATTGCTCTATACTGCTGTGCTTGCTAAACTTTTTTGCATCATAACCCAAAGCATAGACGGAATTTTTGTAAGGGTTTTATAAACACATAGTGGTTGTCTTATTTGTAAGGGTTTCATATATATTAATTTTAATACAAGTGTTGACTATTTTTAATTTTTTTAATATTTTTTTATAGATTTGTATCTATGGTTATGACAAGCAATATTTATTTCTTTCAAAAATATTTGAAAAGTTAAAAGAATTAAAAATTAATGAAGATAGATTCAATGTCATCAAAGAATCAGTGTGAAATTGTTTTTATTTTATTATTAAATTAATAAAAATGGTAACAGTAAAATTAGTTACAAAAATAATAAAAATAATATGTTGATTGATGTTGGACAGAAATGTTAATAAAACTAATTGAAGATTTGTTGACACCAAAAAGTTGACACAGTACAACTAGTTGTCCTAGAAATACATGGACTCTTAAAGACTCTAAAACTCTTCACTTCTTAACACTTTCACTGTTCTATTGTATTTACATTAATTTAAAGACAAGATTTAACCAGGAATTTGACTTCATCTTCATGTTTATTCTTTTAACTTCACCTTCATGTTTATTCTTTTAACTTCACCTTCATGTTTATTCTTTTAACTTCATCTTCATGTTTATTCTTTTAACTTCACCTTCATGTTTATTCTTTTAAAGTTATGTGTTGACTTAACTATTTTCACTCTTTTAAGTTAAGTCCAACAAATTATTGATTCTTTCTCTGTTTTTACAATCATTTATTTTTTTCAATCTTGACAAAAGTTTCAAATCTTTAAAAATAAATCAATTCATATTTAATAAGTACATATTTTGTCTCTAATTTTAATTTGATGACAATGTATACCTGGTAACCTTGAATTAAATAGTTTATATTGTTTCTAAACAATTGGTTTACACTATGCCATGGCATTGTGTAGGTTTATAAGAGATGTAGCAGTTTGTGATGGAGTCTGTTGATTGTTTGTTTTGATTTTGGTAAGATTGTTTTGTTTAGCAAGATTGTTTGTTTTGATTTTGGCTGAGTTAGTGAAAGAGATTTTGAAATATCAATACACATTATACACAGCCTATGACATTGTATGGCATGTTATGACATTGTATCACATGCTGTGATATCATATGACACGCAATGACACGGTATAACATAAGTTCTACTCATATAATGTTGAGAATTTATTTCAGTTTTCTGTTTATTACTTATTGAAAATAATGTTGATGGAATCATCAGACAAATAAACTATTTTTTTGGAATAAAGGTCTATTTGTGGTCTTTTTAATGTTTCTTATTCAAATTTGCAAATATTGAAATGATTAGCTGAAAAATTTGTTTTGAAAGTTCAACAACAATGCTTACATCTTTTGATTGAGATAAAACATGAAATATAAAGTATTGATTTTAAACTTCTATTAATATTTTTTTAATATAACTTATCAAATCCTAGTTAAACGTTCACATACTCTAAACACTTTGTTATTTGATAAAAAAAATTTTTTGTACAAATCAAAGTATATAACAGTTGTACATAACAACATTTGCTTAATTTAAAGTGAGACTTAAAGATGCTTAAAATGGTTTTTATTATGCAAAATTTGTAATAAATTTAATAATAAATAGTAAGATTATCATCTATAAGAAAAAATCAATAACTTTCAACATCTATGACATGTAAGCAGAACCTAAAAGAAAAAATCATCTTCATCTTCAGGGATCTTACTTCCGATCTTTCTTGGAAACTGTATATCAAATCGATTGCAAGATTAGCATCTGCTAAGATCTAATCTTTTTATCAAGCTTGACACATTCTTACTCCGGATTCTATTTTTTATCCCTATAAATCTTAAATTCTTCCTTGTATAGAATACTGTTGCCATATCTGGGGCAAATTTTCTAATAATGCCCTTTTACTTTTAAACAAGGTGAAAAATGCATTGTAAATATGCATAATTGGACCTGTTCTTGCAAGCAACCATAATGTTGCTTCCCATTTTAACTTCCAACAAGGCTGTAAGCAACCACTATTAGAATTGGAAGTTACTGGAAGAGAAAAGATGAAGTTTATAAAGCAAAATAATGATTAACAGACGATTTAAAAGATTACAATTTTCTGAATCAGAAAACAAGATGTAGGGAGTGAATTCCAAATTACTGATGTTTGAGGAAAAAAACAAATAAAAAATTTTGAACCACTTAGGAATAGTCTCAGTAAAAGGATGCAACTTAATCTAATGATGAGTAACACGAGATTGAATTTTAGTAGATGGTACAAGAGTTGCTAGCTCATAATAGTATTTATAGAAATAAGACAGCAAAAGAGAGCAGCGCCCATTATAATATTTATAAAAAAGAGAAAGAAAAACATCATTATGACGATGTAACAATATTTAAAGGTTGGCTGCAAGAAGAGGTCCAATTATGTTTACAATGCATTTTTATACCTTGTCTATAAAAAAAAAGGGCATCGTTCGAAGATCCGCTTCAAATATGGCAACAGTATTCCATACAAGGACTGATTTGAGATTTATAGAGGTAAAGAATAGAATCCGTAATAAGAGATTTTGCAATGGATTTAATATATGGTTTCCAAGAAAGATTGGAAGTAAGAGGTAATACTAGAACTAAGGGTAGATGATTCATCTAGTCTAATCTTATCTAATCTATTCTTTTATCTAATCTAAACTCATCTAATCTAATTCTAATCCAAGACAAAGGCTACATAATTCATTGAGCACATTACTGTTCATAAATTTAGGATTCTATCTGAGTTAAATTTCACTAGCCACTGAGAGCACCATGATGTAGCAGAAGTGAGATCCTTTTCAAGCTCAAATCCCCCCTCTAAGCGATCAGAGAGTGTTGGCTTTTTATCAAGACAAAAATAAATGATAGTATCATCAGCAAACAATGCCACATTAGATGTGAGAATTTTGGGAGATCATTAATGAAATTAAAAAAAGTATGGGGCCATTAATGAAATTAAAAAAAGTATTGAAGAAGAGTTCTGTCAATTAAGGACAACTTTCATACTATGATTGGTAAAAAAGGATTTAACAATCATAAAGATGTAACCTGATATACAGTAAAAGGAGAGCTTTTGGAGAAGACCAGCATGCCAAACTTTATCAAAAGTTTTAGAAATGTCAAGAGCGATAACCTTAGCCTCTTGGCATCTATTTTCTCAATAAAACCTATCAGCTATTACCGTTAACAAATCAGCAGTAGATCAACAAGGCGATCGAAGTTCATATTGATGATCAGAATGTTAATAGATTCAAGATAAAAGATTAAGTGTTTATTAATTAAAGACTCAAAAACCTTGCTTATGATAAGAAGAAGACTTACGGGATGATGAGTCAGATTGCTCTCTGGAATTTTTAAAAATAGGGATGTCGTTTTCCAGCAGACTGGAAATCAAGACTTTGATAAGCACTTGTTAAATAAGTATAGATGAAAGCTCCTTGGAACACTTTTGATTGACTATAACAGGTATGTTGTCAGGGCCACAAGCTAACTGCAGAGAAGAATGAGGCTTAACTGAGAGGAAATAAGAGAATTCACGCCAGCCTGAATCCAAAAAGCTACATAAGAAACACATTTTTCAGCAAAAAGAACAAAAAATTTCTATCCAAGTTTCATCACAAAACTCAGCTTCAAGGTTCAAGTTTAAGCTTCAAGGTTCAATTTGTAAGACGTACAATGATAAGGGGATTTTAATGATAAAGAAGAATGAGATCAGAAGCACCTAAGGGTAGTACGTAGAGAAAATAAGCACTGACTAGGATCATAAACAAGAAACAAGGCAAGTAGAGAAGGTAAATGGTTCAAATTATTTGGAAAGCAAGTTGGAAAGTTGACTATTTGTGTTAGAGATTGAGAAAGGCAAAAGTTGTGGGCCTTAAAGTCTGCAGAGTCACTGACACTAGAACCAAGCTATTTAGTGTCATGAGCATTTAAGTCACCAACAGCAACAATAAAGGCTATAGAATAGAGAAAAATGGCTTGGTCAATTTAATCAGAAATAACATCAAAGAGTGCAGTCTTGAGATGAATGAGAGAGATATAGAACATAGAGAAAGGTGATAGAGTGAGATGGTACTAAACAAAAAGTATATAAAAGATTAGTCTGTGGATTTAAATCTAGTTTCCTAATAAATGAGTGAACTTTTATGAATGTAAATGCCCAGATCAAGCATGTGACTATAAGAGTCTTTACCATAACCATCAACACTAAGATCACAAGTTGAAACAGCCAAACCCAAATTAGTCTCACAAAAAACAAGTAGGTATGGTAAACTTTACAAAAGATAAATACTCAACAGATGGAAAGTTACTTCAAAGAACACGAATATTAGTGAATGATAGATATAAAGAGATTGGTGATGATGAGGTTTTTTGTGTTTTAAAACTTTTGATACTTCAGTCAATTTTAAAAGTTAAAGAACTTGACTCAAACCACAGTTTGTTTTTAGTACACTGCCCAATAGTCCATGCATCTGCCTCATTATTATAAACCTATAGCTGTAACATAAGGCTCAACATTATGTGGCCTCAACAATGCACACCAAAAGTACGAACAGGGGCATGCACAACATGATATTGTTAGTACTCTGATATTTAACAGCTGTCGATGGAAGCAGCCTTTCTTAGAGCTACCACAGAGTTCAGGAAACTGGACTACCTACGGACCTTAAAATTATAAAACTGAGTTTTAAAGCTCTACCTTTTTTAGGAGATAATAGAATAATTTGCTTAGTCATAAGAGTCACTAGCAAAACCCATGCAATGAGTCAAGAAGATCCAGTATTCAACATCCTAAACAGGAAACAATGTTATAAATACATTTTGCCAGCCTAATAAATGAAGAAGGGTCGCAAGGCTGGTCAACAGATAAATTCTGTTTGAAGGCCTTCTACAGAATAGTAGATAGATGCAGTTAGCATCTGCCCAAGATGGGTATTTTTATCTAGACACCATCTCTAGCCTTTTCTCAATCAAAAGCCCCATGGGGATTTTTAGTTTGTTTCTCTAAAAATTATTAGATATCAGCATCCATAGATGTTTCAGTTTCATTAATATAAACTAGCTGTCCTGACCTGTACGATACGGGTCATGGTAACACAATTATACATACGGCTATTTCCTAACAGAAATAAAATTATTTGATATAAAGTTTTTGGCTTTTAGTTAACAATTGACTTAATATACTTTAGAAAATGTACTTATTTACTTAATGTACTCCAATATTTTATACATAAAAGGATCTTTAACATAATAGAATCAGTTGCATAACATTTCTTCAGGTGTTTTTGAAAATTTAGGCTATATTAATATTTTACCCTCTCATCAAGATTTACTTAAAAAACAAATTTGGACATTAGAAAACGGGTCTAAGAGACTTGTTATTTTAAATAAGTTTTATCCGTTTAATACTTTTTATAAAAACGTTTCTGTAAAAAATAAAACTGTTAACAAATTCATTCATTTAAGCTGTTTTTACATCCGAAGTTATTAAACCTGGAAATATAAAAAACAAAGCAACGGAAATAAAAAAACAAAGCAAAAATGATCAATATATCCATTTAAAAAAATAAATCCAAAAATAAAAAAATATAGATATTTACTTAAGAAACAAAAAACATGTTTTTCTTGAGATAAAATAAAAACATAAACTTTAAAAAAAATTACAAAATTATATTATATTTAACAAAAAGTAACAATAATACTAAAAAAACAAAAAAACGGAGCAAAATTATTTTAAACACATAATACACATTAATGTCAAATTAACGTGTCATGCAGTCAATTAATTTTTTTGAAAACTTAAAAATGCGAATAAGTGTATAGGAAACTTACTTTTTATTTTTTCATAACCCTGACAGATCAACATGAATGTGAGCTAAGCCTATTAGCATAAAACATCACAATTAATTAAATAGCAGAACATGTTACAGTAAACTCTAGATATCCCACACCTTTAAAGAAAAAAAAAAATAGTTTAGTTTAAAGAAAATTAGAGTTATTGGGAGTATAATATATAAAAAAAAGCTTAACTAGAATTTCAAAATTAGTTTATATTGTTGAGGGTTGAGTTATCCTGAGTTTATTGAACATATTTTAACTACTAACTGCACACACTTATAAAAACATACATAAACATTTAAAAAACATAAATCTTTTACTTTATATAACACATATTAACATTAAGATATAGGAAATAACACATAATAAGCAGTTACCACATCATGAGACATATTAATACTTATCAAAAACCACTAAAAACATCACATTTTAAAAATGAAATATTATTTGCATAATATACATTCAATGACATACCTTGTAGTGCATGTTAATCAAAGTTATACAATAAATTATAAAATGACTTGGTTCTGGAATATGCTACATTGAATTTAGTTGTGTGAAAACCAAGTCCGTTTGAGATTAGCATTGACTTTTTCAAATGTTTGACCGTAACTTTTATTTCTTGTCCATGAGTATTGTTAGTAAAATTGTCTTTATTTAAATGATTTAATTTGATAGCATTAACATTAATGGGAAAAATTAAAAAACAACACAAAAATTATTTAACAAAAATATATTCAAAACAAAAAGTTACAAAAAAAAAACTGTGGCTCAAAAGTTGTAAATCTAAAATGTAAAGAAATTATTTACAACTGTTGAGCCACGTCTTCTCCTCCCAGCATCGTCTCTTTCCCTTGTGTTGTATGGAATGCCACCCCTCCATCTAAAGGAAGGATGGCCTTTCCCATACCTACACAAGCAATAGAATGCCCTCAGGGATAGAGGACTGGAATGCTAAGAGCGATATTCTTGAAACTCTTCCCATGATCTCGAGTTTGAAAAAAAAATTATATATTTATCTACCAAGGTGATACTTACAAAAAAAACTACTATAAAAAAACAAAAGTAATCAATGTAATAAAGTACAAGCAAGCACAACAACTTACTTATTATACTCACTTGTACTTGACTTATTACATTAACTGATTAAACTGGAAAACATATTTGTAGTTATATTAAAAAACAAAAGGTTCAATAAAGTGATATTAAATTGGCAAGTACAAAAACTTACTTTTTGAATTTGAAGACACAGCAACTGAAATGACATAGAAAAATTAAAAACTAAATAAAACCAACCAGTCAATGTAATAAGTCAAGTATAAGTGAATAGAACAACTTACTTGTACCAGAAGAAGCAGCAGTTAGATAAAAATAAAAGAAAATTAAAAATGCAATAAAACCAATCAATCAATCTAAGAAGTCAAGTATAAGTGAATAAAACAGCTTACTTGTAACAGAGGAATGTTTTTAAATGCAAGGGCAAATGGGTTTTCTTGATTAATTAATGTTTGCAAGAGTTGCATTAACTCACGTATACAACTATCATTACCAGGTTGCTCCATTCTGAATGACACTGCTGTATTAGGATCATAGATATATAACTGACAATATTTGGGAAAATTCTGCAAGCCTCAAATTTCCAATACGATGCCATAGTTTGCACACAGACCCTAAAACAGAAAGGGCCATTATTTGAGGGAGGAGCTATTTGGCAGTGAAGGAAGCAAAAGATAAAGTGGAATTATAACTGCTTATGTGTTTAAAAAAATTTTGATTTACAGCATGATCAACATGGTTTCCTGTCATTAAATCAGTCAACAATGGTGGATATAGAGAAAGAGGAGTTAATACAACTTTTTCTGAACGACAGCACAAAAAATGAGTTTCATTTAAAAATTTCTTTGCTCTACAGTACTGACAATTATGGTTTAATTCTCTGAGGCAGCGGCAGCAGCGTTAAATTAAGTATTAATTATAAGGGATATGTAAAGGTAGAAATAGGGATGGTGATGATGATGACTTTAATTAATTGTTTAAATGTGTTGTGAGATGTTTTTATAATTTTAGCAAGAAAAATGTTTAAGGAACCATGAATTAATTGAACCTTATCATCAAGCATCTTTCTGTACCATGTATCTATTAGATGAAGCTGTTTGGGATGTGGAGGATAAATTAGTATGCATGAAAGGTAAACAGTTTCAAAAACAGAGTGTATGCACACATAGTTTATATATATATATATATATATATATATATATATATATATATATATATATATATATATATATATATATATATATATATATATATAATATATATATATATATATATATATATATATATATATATGTATATTTTTATATGTGTATATATATATATATATATATATATATATATATATATATATATATATATATATATATATATATATATTATATACTAATTTAGGAAAGTTTTTACTTTTATGGATTAAACAATGTCTTCCACCCGCAACTATAATTACAAAAATTAGCAGGCCCTATTATTCAAAAAAAAGGTTTTTCAAAATTATGTGATGTAGGTACTCAAATAAAGCGAAATTTTATAAAAATTTCAAAAAAATAATTTTTTCATATAAAAATTATTATTTTAGATTTTATTGCATAATAACTATAGTTTTTTAACTAAAAGTGAAAAAGGTGCATTTTTACATGTTTTTAATAACAATTTTTTTTGGCAATATGATTTTTATAAAACGATTATTATTTTCGAATTTTTTATAAAATTTCGTTTCTTTTGAGTACCAGAGTACTAGTTGACCTACTTTTGAAAAACTTTTCTCCAAAATATTAGGGTACCGGTAACTTTCCAAATAAAGTTGCGCCCTTTAAATCTATCACAATCATTCTCATATTTGATAGTATCAATATTAATAACTATTAGCAATGTTTAGAGCCTGTAACAAGAAAAAAAATTTTTATGACCCACTCTAATATATATATATATATATATATATATATATATATATATATATATATATAGTATATATATATATATATATATATATATATATATATATATATATACATATATATATATATATCATAATCGTAATTCATGATTTTTCAATTCATTTCTTGATAAATTCGTGCCTAGGACAATATGAATCAGTGATGTCTTAATCTTATTCGCAGACATATTTTGAATGAAAAATATATCCTTTTATATAATATTCTTCTAAAATAAAATCAGTTTCATATGAGTTGATTAATCAATAATTAAGACATTTCAAAAAAAAAAAAAACATTTTGAAAAAAATGTTTATTGTCAAGTTTATTGTCATCACCCATCTTACTATGAAGCAAACATTTACAACAGATTTACAGCATATTGCCAGGCTTGGTCAGGAAGCGAGGGCGACCCACTCTGTTCTTGAACACATAAATTATATTTAGCTGTAACAACTTAGCCACAGCTTTTTAGATGCTTTGAGAACATTTAAATTTATGTATGTTTCCATATATTTCAGAAACTTTTTTACACGCTAAAACAGTTAACTTTGTAAATAATCTTTCGTAATCAAATGTTTTAATATTACCATAGCGCTTTCAAATTAAGCAATGATTTACTTTTATTGATTGTTTATAAAAACAAAATTTTTATTTTTATTTTTCAAATTACATAAAGTTAAATAAGTTTTATTAAGATAATTATGATAAATAATTATATAAATAATAATATAGATTAATTTTTTATTCTTAAAATACAAGTCTTTTAAAAATGTTTGTACAGTTGATTTTATAAAAAAGAGATTTTCAATAATAACTGCGTTTTCAATAAAATTTTCAAAATAATAATCATCAAAGTTAATAAAATTAATAATCAAATACATATATAAATAATGAATTACGAGTGGATGAACACTGCGCCAGAGGGTAGAACAAAATGTAAATATAGATTTGTACAAAGTGACCTACGGGTGAACCATCACCGCGCCAGCAGTTCATTTAGAAGAAAAACATACAAATATATTAAAATAAAATCATAATTTACTTAAAATGCAAAATACCTTTTATATATTAGTTTATAATATATGTTACAGTAAAATAAACCAACTGACTTAAATAAAATATAAATTTATTAAATGTATACATTGATATATATACATATATAATATATATGTATATATATCAATGTCTACATTTATATTATGTATATATATATATATATATATATATATATATATATATATATATATATATATATATATATATATATATATATATATATATATATATATATATATATATATATATATATATATATATATATATATATATATATATATATATATATATATATACATTGATATGTATACATATTGATATGTTTACTTAGAAAATGTATGCATATAGTGTTCAGTTTGGAAAATGATTATTATAGACCGCTGTATCAGGGGTCTGATGCATTGCAGAATTTTTTTAAACATTAAGGTTCTGCCCTATGAAAAGTTCTAATTATTATATATGTGGTCAAATGTAGAAGGAGGTCACACCCACTTCCTGACCAAGCCTGCATTGTCACAATATAGGATTACTTATGAATGTTAGGTAATAAACCTATGCAGGTCAGTCAAAAATACTATTCTGCCAAGTAATATTAAGTTGTTATTTTCAGTTATACCATTGTGATTTATAATTTGTAAATAAATATTTTCTACAACAATCAAATAATAAATACAATAAATAATTTATTTTATAATCTAATAAAATCAAATTTTATTTTTTAAACTTCAATAAATTTAATGTTTATTATAAAATTTCTCATGCAAATAAAGTTAGTTGACATAATCATAAATTATGATTATGTCAACTAACTAATTCAAATGTTAATGCATGTTTTCTGTGACTTGACAAATATTGTTTTTTGAATTTATCTTTTATAAATTTCTTTTATTTGCTACTAAAATTTTAAACGATCAAGTCTCACTATGTCATGGTTATGAGTTTCTATTCATTAATTCATTCATACCATGTGAACCATTCATACATGTTTATTTAATTTTATTGTTGTTTGATAAAATAATTAAATAAATTTTTTTATTTTAAACCCTAAAATACTTTTCATTATTTTAGTCAGTTTACACAAGCAATTAAATGTTTTTACCATAGTATAAATAAATATTATTGCAAAAAGGTGTTTTATGACACCATGCTTTTATAATAGCTTTTCTTAGATTTGCTATAGAAATCGGGTTCTATTTAAAAACTTCTGCTTTCAATTTTTGAAATAATTCCCAGAATTGACAGTCTTCCTTGTTGTAAAAGATACCAGCAAGATCAGTAATGAACCCTAAATCATAATTGCTGGATATTGCTTAACAGGTCCCACACACACAAATGTGCATGCGTGGGTGGTACAAAAATATGGCAACACATCAAACACAAACACATTTTTTGCATTTATAAGTATTTATCTATAATAACTATTAACTTAAAATTACTGTTTTTTGTCAGCACTTTTACTTTGTATAATATTTTGTATTAATTATGAATGAAAGCTATTCAAATCTTTTATCACACATTTAACTTTAAATGGTTGTATTTTTTTTTATTTTAACTAGAAATCTATTTTTAAAACATTAAATTAAATATAATTAACATTAAATTTTAAAGTTATTCAACATTAATCTGTAAGTGTTTTTTTCAATATAAAGTTGTAAGTTTATTTGATTCTCACAGATGTTACTGTAAAGAGTTTAGAAGAGTACATAAACAGATTTCTGGTGAGTATCTTTGTAGAATGTTTACTCTGTGGTAATCTTTTACAAGATGATGTCAACACAATCATAACAATTATTGAAGAGAAGCTGTTAACAAATGCACATCCATTGCTTCCTTTACAGCACATTGCTCCAAGAATTTATCGTTTAAATAAAGGTATTTTTAATAATTATAAATGTAATTAATAAACTTAACAAATAATTAAATAGTATGTAATAATATTTTATAATAATAAGTAAATATGATTTTTTAACATTTTAACTATTTAAGAATATATAAATTTTATCCATTCTACCAAACTAATTATTCAGGTATATATTATTTATTTGAGAAGCGTAGCAAGCTACATATTACTTCTTGTATTTATACACTTGTACAAGTAAGTTTATTCATATAATTTTTTATTAATAGTAATAACTGTTTGCCAATTTGTTTTTTCAACTGTTTATTGTTTTAATAAAGGTTGGAGTTCAAGAAACAAAAGTGAATGTTCTTTGTGAAATTATTACTTCTATGATGGAAGAACCGTTTTATAATCAACTCAGAACAAAAGAACAGCTAGGTATTTTTGTCTTCTTTTTTGCTTGTGTCTTTGATTTCAAAATAGTTTATGTATATATGGATTTTTTCAGGTTACATTGTGCAATGTGGAATTAGCTGTTCAAATTCTACAACGGTTTGCTTAAATACATTTTATACATTGTGTATATATATATATATATATATATATATATATATATATATATATATATATATATATATATATATATATATATATATAAATACAATACATACATACATATATACATACATACAGTCTGAGAAGCATTAATTTAGTAACAATTTAAAAAAAAAACAATCTTTTTAAATTTTGAGAGAGAGAGATGAATATAGTAGATATTACAAAAACATCTCAAAAATAAATTTCAGGAACGTTTTTCTTTGTGCTTTTTTCTACTAGAATGCACTAGTGCTATGCATTTGTACATAAAGATAAAAGAGGAAAAAAAAAGTTGTTGATGAGATGTTCGAAAATGAGGTTTATATTGAGAAATAAAGTTGCTTGACCAGGTATTAAAGATTTTAGAAAAAGGTACTATCAATAAAGTAAAAAGTTTGTATCTTTTCCCCAGAAATAGTAAAACAGAAACATTTTTATTGTACAGTAAGTTTAAAAAACATTTTCGGAAAGGAAAAAGATCTCTTGATGCTATTTGTTTACTTAAAAAAAGCTTTCAACAGAATACCAAGAAAGATATTAAACTTTAATCTCTATAGGTGTTTAAAATTGGTTGATAATAGTTATCGTGTTTAATAAGGCTAATTAAAATAAAAGTTGGAGAGTATGCAAGTTATGCACTGTAAAATCAAGAATGAGTTGTAGAAAATACTAGAAAGTGGCTATGTGTGCAGTAAATACCAGGAGGTGGCTCTGTGGAGTGTGTTAAATATACTATAAAATGGTGTGTGGAGTGTGTAGAAAATGGGTTCAAGCCATCTATATTGTACAGTTTGTATTGGTTTTGGTTGCTATTGGTTTTTAAGAGATGTGCAACATGCTTCTAATATTGTTGGTATTGAGTGTAGAAAATGTACTTAGGTTTAAAACAGAGAAAAGGAGATTGAAATAAATAGTGGTGAAAAACTTGTTGTAAAGTCTTTTAAATCTGGAGGTACAATTGGTCAATGTATCAGAAAAGGCATCAATAGCAAAAGTAAGGTGTGCCTGGATCATAAAATTATCTCCACATCTAGCACCAAGAGGTGCGTCATTTAAGGATAAAGAAAATTTGTACACCTCGTTTTTAAGAGTGTCTTGAAGGAGCAGAGAAGATAAAGATCAAATGAATGTGATAGGGAATAGTTAGTGTAATTGATATGGTGTGTCAGGGAAGATTAGTGTGGTTTTGGTATGTTGGGCATAAAAATGCAAGTGATTGGGTATCAGGATGTAGAGAGCTGTTTCTTGAGAAAAAGATAATATAAAAAATCATTAGATCATTTTAAGAAAGCCAAAAAGTATTATAAAAAAATGTCTAACCCGTGCAAGTGCAGAAACAAGGTCATTAAAACAGTGAAGTTGACCATGATCATGATGATAATCAAGTTCTGTGCTAATATATCTATAAGATATTTTATTCAAAACAGGTTTTCATTAAAACTATAGTTTTTTTAAATAATTTAAAGTGTTTGAGAACCTCCTAACTCTATAAGGAAAAATACTTGGCTTTACTAGTTCTGCAATCTACCATTTTTTAAATTATTATGAGAGTTAAAAAAAGTGTTTATCATTCTAGTAAGTACTTTTTTCAACTTAAAAAAAGTTTTATTGTTAACTTTTAGGGTTCTAAATAGACAGGGTTCGAAGCAAAATAGAGAACTTATAGTTTCAAAAATAAATAACTTTTTTTTTTTTTTTTTTGTGAATGAAGTTTAAATGTTCCTAAATATTTTTAAAGTTCTAGAACAACAAGAATTATTTGAGTGAATGAGGGAATGTGTAAGTTAATTAGGGAATGTGTAAGTGAATCTTTATTTGTAAACTCCAAGGCTTTGTGGAACTTAGCATCCCAGTTTATGCATATATCATCAGTTTATGTATTTGTTTTATAAAGTATTATTTGAATATGCTGTTATATATGTTGTTTTATATACCACTATTATTTTACAAATTCAAATTTAGGGAGTTTATTTATTGGTACAATCAGATAAGCAACCATCATATGTTGAAAAAAGAATTGAGATTTTTCTGCTTGATTTTGAGGTAATATATTGCTGCAAAAATAAATTTGTTAAACAGGATTCATAACCAACATACAAGTTTTAGAAAGTTTTGATTTAAAAAATAAAAAAAATAGGGAAAATATAAAAAAATTAAACTTGGTAATTAATTTATATAACCCTGGGGGAAATGAATAAACAATTTTTAAAAAGTACATTTATTCTGACAAATAAATAAACGATTTTAAAAAATACATTTATTCTGACTGTTGACAAGAAAATGATTAACAGACAGCTTATGAAATTGCAAATTATATGAATCAAGAAAACAAGATAAAAGAAGCGAATTCTAAAAGACTAAAGTTTGAGGGAAAAAAATAGTTTAATAAGAATTTTTAGAGTACTTAGGATTAGTCAAAGTAAAAGAACAAGACTTAATTGAATGATAAGTAACACAAGAATGAATTTTAGTAGAGTCTCTACTTTTTAATTTAGTCTCTACTGAAATTGCGCGTTATAGTAGAAAAGAGAAATAGAAGCTACATTATAACGATGTGATAATGGTTAAAGTTTAGCTGCAAGAGCAGGTTTAACTATGTTAACAATGCGTTTTTGTACCTTGTCTGAAAGAGACAGGGCATGATTCAAAGATTTTGAGTTATTCAACTTCAAGAAACTTTCAAGAGTTTAATATTTAAAACTATTTGTTATTATAACATTAAAATCATATGAAATTTTATAAATATATAGTAATTGTTAATGAAGTTAAATAAATATCTAATAACAGTTTAATTATCTTTCTAATAATTACTCTAACTAATTAAGTTTTGTATTTACATTTATCGAAGATTTTTAATATTGTTTAAGTATTTTTTATTTAAAATTAATTTTAAAAAATTTATATTAATTTTAGTGACATTATTTTATAAATTTTTTTTTCAGTGATATACCATTTGTGAATAAAAAACATATGAAATAACGAACTATTAGCAGGGCCAGATATAATTTTACGCCTTTCTATGCTAGAACTATTGTCTCATCAACTTCTTCTTTTGTTGAATGTAACAAATACAGTATTTAGCGTTAGTGTTCATCATTCATTATCTTTAAAATTCAGCAATGATGTATTTACAAATGTTTGATTTTTAAAGCAAAAAAGGGTTTAGAAAAATTTCAGAATCACCAAAAAACTCTTTCTCATCAACAAGCCATTGAGAAAGTAAGTACTATTCCTTCAACAACCAGAGATTTTGGTGAACTTCTCTCTAAAACAGAAACACAAAAAATAATAATAATAAAGCAATCTTCCTATTTTCAATTTGTAGTCAGACCAGGTCCTCTTTGTCCTCTCAGGTCCTTTCTGCAGCCATTCTTTCTCAGGTCCTTCCATTACAATACAAATAGAGAATATAAAAAAAACTTTTTTTATTTACTTAATCTCAGATGTGTGGATAATCCCAATTAATTAAATAAATAAAGTTTTGTGGATAATGGGTTTTACTATACTTTAATATGTTACATCAACAGGGTGTAAACTAGCCCTGTGGGGCCCCATCAAACTCAGTATTCCCTAATGCTCAAAAAATTCAAATTCCCAATTTAAAGGTGAAAAAATCCCATTCCCCAAATAAAGTTTTCCAAATTAAAGTTTAATAATAATTCTAAAAATTGTTGAAAATTAATTATTTTCAAAAACTAATAGAAAAATAACATAACAAACTCTAATTTATTTATTGTATAAAACTTGAAATAAAAAATTATTGGTACAACTACATGATTGCATTGCATATCTGCGAAAATTTCTATTGGAAAAAAACTTTTTGAGAATTGGGACTTTCCTAGCGATTTTAGGGATTTTCTCTACAACTTGCTTGTAAAATTCATTTTTCAAAATTTGCAACGCACTTCAACAACAGCAAATACTATATAAAAAAGTTAACAAGAAATGAAGTAGAAAATGGAAAATCTTTAACAGCATTATTAACAAGGGTAGATCTATCATTTCATCTCTCATCCATGGGACTGATCTTATTACCTCTCCCAAGGTTAAGGCAGAACTATTTGCAAAGAACTTTTCTTCTAATTCCACTCTTGAATCTTATGGACATTCTCTTCCTTCCATTCCAGTCAAACAGGTTGACCCATTGTTAGACATTCAAATCACTCCGGCTTCTGTTGCTAAAGTCATATCTTAATTAAACTCGTCTACAGCTTGTGGTCCAGACAACATTCCTGTCACAGTCTTGCAGAATTGTTCTCCAGAACTTTCTTTAATTCTCTCTAAACTATTTAACAAGTGTTTGACTGAGTCTTGTTTTCCTGCTTGTTGGAAAATGGCATCTGTGGTTCCAATATTCAAAAACTCTGGAGATCATTCTGACCCCTCGAATTATCGTCCGATCAGTCTTCTTTCTGTTATTAGCAAGGTCTTTGAGTCTTTGATCAACAAATTCCTCACATCTGATCTTGAGTCAAATAAACTACTGTCAGACATTCAATACGGTTTTCGATCCTCTCGCTCTATGGCCGACTTACTAACTGCTGTAACTGAAAGATTTTATCGTGCATTAGATGGAGGCAGTGAGGCTAGGGCTATTGCTCTCGACATATCTAAAGCTTTCGACAAAGTTTGGCATGCTGGTCTTCTCCATAAGCTTGCTTCATATGGTGTTTCTGGGAAAGTTTTTGAGATTATCAAATCATTTCTTTCTAACCGGTTTATTAAAGTCATCCTTGAAGGCCAACACTCTTCTTTATTTCCAGTAACTTCTGGGGTTCCCCAAGGTTCCATCCTGGGCCCTGTTTTGTTTTTTTATCTACATAAACGATCTTCCTGACAACCTTTAATCTAAAGTAGCTCTTTTTGCTGATGACTCAACTTTATACTCCTGTCTCGACAAAAAGTCTTCTCTTTTCGATCGCCTATAATAAGCAGCTGATCTTGAATCCGATCTCACTTCAGTAATAGATTGGGGTTCACAGTGGCTTGTGAATTTCAACTCTAACAAAACCCAGTTGTTTACTGCAAACAACTACCGTAATATGGTCAACATTCCTATATTAATGAATGGCAATCCTTATACTGAGTCCTCCTCTTTACATCTTCTTGGATTATCGCTTACTACTGACCTTTCATGGAAACCATATATACAATCGATTGCTAAATTAGCTTCTGCTAAGGTTGCTTCTCTTTATCATGCTCGCCATTTCCTTACTTCTGATTCCATTCTCTACCTATACAAATCTTTTATTTGTCCCTGTATGGAATACTGTTGTCATATTTGGGCTGGTTCTTCTAACGATTCACTTTCTCTTCTAGACAAGGTCCAAAAAGGCATTGTAAATGTTGTTGGACCTGGACTATCTGCTAAGCTTGAGCTTCTTTCCCATCGTTGTAAAGTTGCATCTCTTTCTCTTTTCTACAAATACTATCATGGTCACTGCTCAAAGGAGTTATCATCTCTAGTTCCATCAACTGAAATTCATTCTCGTTTTACTCGTCCTTCAGCTAAGTCTCATTCGTTTACTGTGTCTATCCCTGCATGCTCTAAAAACTTTTATTCATCTAGTTTTTTTCCCCGCACTTCAATCCTTTGGAATTCTCTCCCATCTTCATGTTTTCCTGACTCATACAACCTTCAACTTTTCAAGTCTTCTGTCAACCGTTTCCTTGCTCTATAACTCTGTTCTTTTATTTTCCTAGTAACTCCCAACTTAATAGTGGTTGCTTGCAGCCTTGTTGAAAGTGAATGCAAATAAAAAAAAAAAAAAAAAAAGATAGAATCAGTAATTTTAAATGTCTTATCTAAGAATAGCTCATTAACTAAAATGGTCTTTGCCTTCTATGCTATAATATATAATAGTTGATGGGTGTTGTTTTGCACAATTTTTATTAAGAGAAAAAGGAAGGGAAATCTTGTTCTTTTATGGTTTCATTCTTAATAAATAGGCCAATGAATTAATTTTAATTGAATAAAGAAAAAAATTGTATTACAAAATATGCAAACGTAGATAAAAAATTTTTGTTATATTTTATAAACTTTTAGGAAATGATTTTGAATATGGATGCCTTGGTGTTTTCAGATTATGTTCAATCATTAATTGAAAACAAACTTGAGAAGCCAAAGCGTTTGGATCAAGAAGCTTTGCAATATTTATTAGAGATTAAGACACAGCAGTATCACTTTAAACGAGGTATTTAAACAATGTATTCATTAAGATGGTTCAAAGAACAACAGTTTTTTATAAAGCTGTCACACTTTTTAAATGTGTTCCATATAATAAAATAACAATGGATTTGACTTTTTCAGGTATTACTACCCTAAAGCTGACTGGGACTCTTTCTTTGATTTCTTTTGTGATGGCCCTTAGGTAGAAATCTTTTGTCTTCCTGCTGACAAATGTGCTGCTTACATAACTTTGTGGATTCAGGTTGGCATTGAAATTTTTATTACCTCTTGTCGATTCCAGGTCAAGCCTTATTCTTCTCCATGGTTTTTCTTATATTGTGCTGCTGCAATTGCCAATCGAAACCCTTACTTCCATATCTATCAGCAAAACAATTCTCAAGAAAACAGATGTCTGTTTATTACTACTAGAAACCATTGAAAAAAGGTGTCTAACGTCAAATCCCACTATTCTCAGGTCATGAAATCTTGTATTTCATCACAAAAATTAGGCTCTCGTGACTTCTGGAGATAGTAACAATAATAAGGGCAAATCTGTGATTCCACTTGTAGGGTTCAGACTTTGTCACCTCACCTAAAGACAAAGCTGAACTCTTTGCTAAGAACTTTTTATCAGTATAATCTCTTGATTCCACTAGATGCGTTGTAACTGATATAGCCATCAAACAGGTTGATCTATTGTTTGACATTTGTATCACTCCAGCTTCTATATCTATAATGATTTCCTGCTTAGACTCTTCTACAGCTTGTAGCCCGGACAACATACCTGTTATAGTCTTGCAGAAGTGTTCTCTGGAACTGTCGTCTATTCTTTCAAAACTATTCAACAAGTGCTTATCAAAGTCTTGTTTTCCAGCCTGCTGAAAAAGAGTAGCTGTTATCCTTATTTTTAAAAATTCTGGAGAATGATCTGATTCGTCTAACTACTTTCCCATTATTCTTCTTCCTATCGTTAGCAAGGTTTTTTAAATCTTTAACTAACAAACACTTAATCTCTCAATATGGATTTCGATCTTCTCGTTCTATGGCTGATTTGCTATCAGTAATAACCGATAGGTTTTGTTGTGCATTAGGTAAAGGTGGAGCGGTTAAGGCCATCGCTCTTGTTATTTCTAAAGCTTTTGATAAAGTTTGGCATACTAGTCTTCTCCATAAGCTTTCTTCTTATGGTATATCTGGAAACATCTATAAGATTATTGAATCCTTTCTTTCCAATCGTAGTATAAAAGCTGTCCTCAATAAACAGCACTCTTCTTATCCTGTAACCTCAGCGTTTCCTTTAGATTTAATCCTTGGCCCTATATTCTTTTTAATTTACGTTAATGATCTTCCAGATATTCTCACATTAAAGGTGGTATTGTTCGCTGATGATGCTACCATTTATTCTTTTCAAGATAAGAAGCCAACACTCTCTGATTGCTTGATAGGGGGCATTTGAGCTTGAAAAGGATCTCACTTCTGCTACAGCATGGGGATTCACAGTGACTGGTGAACTTTAAATTCAGATAAAACTCAATTATTATTGTAATTATTCAGAACTTCCTATATTTATGAACGGTAATGTACTTGATATGTCATCTACCCTTTATCTTCTAGGATTAACTCTTACTTCCGATTTTTCTTGGAAACTTTATATCAAATCTGTTGCAAATTTTGCATCTGCTAAAGTTGCATCTCTTTATTGATCTCCAGATTTATTTACTCTGGATTCTATTATTTATCTCGATAAATCTCAAATTCGGCTTTGTATGGAATACTCTTACCATATCTGTGGCGGATCTTCTAATAATGCTCTTTCTCTTTTTGACTAGGTGCAAAAACGCATTGTAAACACACACCTACTCTTGCAGCTAACCTTAAACCATTATCACATCATCATAATGTTGCTTCTCTTTCTCTTTTCTACAAATACTATAATTGGCACTGCTCCAAAGAGCTAGTGTCTCTTGTGCCACCTACTAAAATTCTTTCTCTTGTTACTTGTCATTCAATTATGTCTCATCATTTTTCTGTGACTGTTTCTAAATGCAATAAAAACTTTTATTTGTCTGGTTTTTTTCCTCAAATATCAGTTCTTTGGAATTTGCTTCCTTCATCTTGCTTTTCTGATTTATATGATAATTGTTATCTTGCTCTACAAACTCCATCTTCATCCAGTAACTTCCAACTGCAATTAGTGGTTGCTTGCAGCCTTGTTGGAAAGGAAGATATTAAAAAAAAAAAAAAAGTTTGAGATCCATGTTGACCTTCAAAGCCATTTTTTTCAATTATATTTTAAGCACTAAATTTACATTTTAAGCAGCTTCTAAAATATTAAATTCCTTTGCAATTTCTTATTTTCTCCTTAAGTGATTCGGGCCATGTAATGATCTCTTTAAATCTTTTATCTCGTACTTCCTTTTCTAACTCACCCTATCATCGCATTACCTACTACTACCCTAAAGCTAACTGGGATTCTCTTTATGAATTATATTTTTATTTTGACAGTCCTTGGGCTGATGTATTTTCTCTCTCTCTGCTAATATATGTGCTTCCTATGCAACCTCCTGCATCCAGTCAGAAACAGATGCTTTTATTCCTTTTCTTCAGTTCCAAGCCTCATTCTACTCTGGCTTTCATTTTCTTGTACTGCTGCTATATCTAATCGTAATCATTTTTTCATCCTTTTCAAAAGAACAACTCTCCTGTAAACAAATGCTTATTTATTATTTCAAAAAATCAATGCAAAAGAGTGTTGTCAGATGTTAAGCTCAATTATTCCCACTAAATCTCATATCTTAGAGGTTAGGCTCTAGAGACTTGTAGAAAATCTTCAACAGCGTCATTACCAAAGCTAGATGCAAAAGCTAGAAGCAAAAACAATGGTCTAACATTTCATCTCTCATTCATCGGACTGATCTTATTACCTATCCCAAGGATAAGGTAAAACTATTTGAAAAGAGTATTTTTTCTAATGCAACTCTTAAATCTTTGTGCTACAAAGACTTATGAAGTTTTCTCCACAAGCTGTACATTTACAATTCCACAGTGAATATCATAAAAAACTGTGTTCAACTGTATCATTTCTTTAACAATAGAGTTGGTTTTGTGTGGAATTCAATACCAGATAATGTCATGCAACAAAACACAAACTCTTTAAAAAATATCTTGGACAAATACATGAAACAAAATTTTTACTTTAAAGTCTAAAGAAACTGAAAAATGAAAATGCAGTCCCAGAGTTACTATAGCTTTCTCATTTTTTAGTGTTTGATCAGGGTTCCCACACCTCCTTAAAAACCTTAAATATCCTTAAAAAATAAAAACTTCCTTAAATGTCCTTAAATAACCTTTAAAAAAGTTAAAATTTGATTACACTCCTTAATTTCTCCTTATTTTTTTATTTTATTTATCTAGAAAAAAATTTTAAAGTTAATGGATTATATTTGTTAATAAAGAAGATAATATATAGATTTTTGATTATTAAGCAATTAAGCACTCTTTTTATAGGTAAATATAAAGTACTATATATATATATATATATATATATATATATATATATATATATATATATATATATATATATATATATATATATTGTACTTTATATTTATCTATATTGTACTTTAGTACATTTTTGTTTGCAGTTTTCTAATATATTTTTCTGACTATATTTTAAAATGCCAACTTTAATCCTGACAAAAAAAAAAAAATAATAAAAAGAATTTGAAAAAAATAAATAAAATGAAAAGACAAAAATGCAAAAAAAATAAAATAAAATGAATATGAAAAAAAAATCTCAATGTAATAAAGGTTATTTATACCTAATTTGTACCTGAATAGTCCAAACTGTTAATCTACTGAAGCCCACTTATATGTCTATTTTGCTATTAAATAATTGAATTTTAAAAGTGTTATATTTTAGTATATAATTCATTGCATTATTCTAATTCATTTTCTTTTTATATTTGTTTAAAAAATTGTCTGCATTGTAAAATAGTCAAGTAAAATATGTGTAGAAAAATCCAAATACACAATTTTGGATTTTTATTTGTGAAAACTGCTCTAATGCATTATGCATCATTTTTGTATTTAGATGAGGTAGAGACTAAGGCCTTGCAAAGTATATCAAAGGAAGATGTTTTATTTTTTTATAAGGTTTGTAAAAAACATGTACTTATATATTTATTTAAAAAATTTTATCTTGATATTTTTGCTAAGTTTGTATTTTTATAATTATTATTTAAATTAAATGTATTTGTTCATTTATTATTATTATATTTATTTTTTTATCGTAAGATTTTTAGTATGATAAAAACAAGAAATTTTTATATGTACTGATTTATTGGTCCTTTAGAGCAATTCATGCTCTAAAGGATCAATATTTAATAAACTCAATAATTAATTAAAAAATTTTAAATAATATTAGATTTATATAATTAATAAATAATTATTGTCATTATTAAATAGTTACTTCAATTATTTGTTATTTAATAACAGTTCAAATAACAGTAATTTATTTATTAGCAATTTAATGATCAAAAATTGAAATAATTCTGAACAAATTAAACTTTTTAAAAGTAAAAGAACAGAATAACAGGTGACAGATAATTAAAAAATTATATTACTTTTATATATTATTATATCTTTTATATAATATTATATCTTGCTTTTTGTCAAGTATTTTTTTCAACACTGCTATACTTATATAGCGCCTTCAACTTGATATTTTTTTCACTTAATTAAATAGAAGGAACTTATTTAAAGTTTTTTATTTAAATAAATTAAAAATTAAAATTAAATAAAAAATTAAATAAAAAAAAAATTAAAATTATTAAAATTATTTAAATAAAAGGGAAATATCAAAACAATTTAGAGTTCCAAACAATTGATGTTCAAAGAAAATAGTTAAATGATAATTTTTTTTAGCATCAAGAAACAGTCACAATAAAAGGATGCAATAGGATGGTCATTTGATGATACATTTTAAACTTTTTTTTCATATTTTTAAAAAGTTTTTTTTTTACCAGTGATGACATTTGATCTAAAAATAATACCAAAAATTATGAATTACGGAGACTTTTTAAATTAAAACTTTCATTCAAACGCATTTGATATTGTGAAAGTGCATATAAAGTAGTCAGTAAGTCTTCCTTTTAAATCTATTAAGACAATCACTTGTAAGTCGCTTTATTTATCATTTAGCTTTATTTACAGTATTATTTGTTAAGTTTTTAATGCTTGATATGCTATATTGTTTAAATTTTACAAAGTTTATATACAAGCGTTACTAACCCTTTGTGCATTGAAGGCTTCAGTCTTTTATTAAAAGATGGAAGAGGCTTCAATACCAAAGAAGGTTGGTAGGCAGAATAAAATTTATAACAAAAATGTATCTGTTAAAACGGAAGACACAGTAATCATATCAGAAAAAAAACTTTTATTGGATCTAATACATAGCAACTTAGGAGGATGCTCTGTTTAATGGATCTAATACAAATATGAGTCACTAAAAAAAGGGAAAGAAAAATAGTAAAACAGACATCTTTTGACAGAATTTTGCTTAAATATTATTGGTGATAACGAAATCAGTGAGGGTGTTTAATTTTCTTCAGATTTTATTGAAGTAGAAGAAAAAGATGCTGGAAATTTCAAGGAAAGAACTGTTAAAAGAAATGTGTATTGTAGACGATGGATCTTGTATTAGTCAAAGATAGTTTGTATAATCAAAGATAGCCGTTACTTTAGCAGTAGGGGGAGCACCTTAAATGATATTACACTTTTTGAAAAATCAATTTTTACAACAAGAATTGCAAATAGAATTGAAGATGCAAAATTAATTGAAATAAACTTTTGTTTTTGCTTTTTTTTTTGATCTTTAGAAATTTATTGGGATGGAAATATGTTCAACTAATCTACATGAAAAAAGACTTTGATGAAAAAAAGGCTGTGTTTGCAGAGCATCCTCCTAAGTTGCTAGGTTCTTCTTAAAGTTCTGATGGAAATGGGCAATTATTGTTCAGTGATGAAGTTTGTTGAAAAGTGGCAATTAAAATTGTCTGTAGTTGCACTTGTTTATGATACAAATACTAAAAATAATGGTGTATATAATATAGCTGATATTCTAATTGAAAAGCAAGTTGGTGGTTCTATACTCCAACTTAAATATAGATATCATGTCAGAGCTATAGTCAATAAGACTAGCTTTTTGAAAGGTTCAAGAAAAAGTTTCATAAATTGATCAAGAATATAAGAGATCTTAAAGTATGGAACTGGCCTAATGATTAAAATAGTTTTTTATTTTCAAAAATATTTCTAAAAATATTTTTATGCAGTTTTGATGTCTTCTGTATTTTTTTTGTTTGTTTTTTTTTTGTTTTTTCTCGGTGGACATATTAAAAGAGGTTCCTATATTTGGTATGCCAAGTCTGATCATCATGCAAGATGGATTTTAAAAGCCATTATTCAAAGTGTTCCTACTTTCTTGCACTTTTAAGCTTAATGAGGAAGAAAAAAAGAATAAGAGAATATCCGAGTGCATTGGCTTTTTTATACAGAAAGTAAAAAAAGCATATGTTTGCAAGCTACTATTACTGCTGCTGCTCCGGCTGCATTACTTTTATTTGATGAGAAAGTTTAATTCAATTGACCTTAAAGATGCTGAAGAAATCATTAAGCTTTTTCCTTGTTTAACAACTCTGTAAATCATGCAGAAAAGACTGTATAGTTTAAATATATAAACATTGAGGCAGGTCATTTTTCAAATTTTTATAGTAAATGCTTAGGCCATATGAGTTATAAACGTGTTGGCCCTTATATCCAAATTATGGGGGGGGAAAAAATTTAATTTTCAAGTTTTCAATTTTTGATCTCAAAAACTGAGGTTTTGGGTAGAAAAATGTGATATACATGATTTGCCGCAACTTTGACTGGTTATTCCAATTGACTTAAAAACATCTTCAATCAAATTCTTGATCCCAAATACCCCTAATTATACACCTAGGAAGTTTTTTTTATATTAAAAATTTAAAATTTTAAAAGTTTACAAAGATTTTACATTTTGCTGTTATATTTTGGGTTGTTATGAAAAGATTATTTGCTTCAAAATTGCAAACTAAGTGCTATGATTGGTTTTGCAAATAAGTTTTTAGATTTTGAGTTAACCCCATTGTGATATGTTATAAATTATGGTCTGCATTTAAGAAGAGATAAAAGCTGTAAAGCAAAGGCAAAAATTAAAGGCATAAGTTTTCTTTAAAGTTATGATGTGAATCCTAAAGTTCTCGACTGAGAAAGTCAATATAAATATAATAATTAAAGTATGGTAATAAGCTACTGGAAAAAAAGAAGTTTTGTTTTATGTCCACAGACAATCAATAGAAAGAATTGTGAAAGAAATTACAAGAGCTTTTAGCATAGTTTACTGTCAAAAAAGATGAAATGTGTTTTTTAAGGCAACAATGGCTCACAGGGAACTTCTTCCTGTTTTAGAATCTTAACAGAATTAGCTTTTTTAGGCATCCATGTGTCAACATTGACATCCATGTATCAACATTGCTACAGACGAAGACATCATTAAAAAGTATTGAAACTTTGAGGAATATGCTTCAAAGGAGCATATTACTCAAAGAAATTAATTGAAATAAATATTCAACAAGCCAAAAAATAACATTTCAATAATGTGATTAATTGTATATCTATTAAAATTTTAATAAATCTTTTGTAGGGTTTGTACAGTCACAAATTAACTTAATTTCACAAAATTGTTATTTAGTAATTAATTCATGTTGTATTAACCTCATTAAATAAGAAAAATGTCAAAGTAGTAAGTAAGGAAAAATAAGGTTCAGTAATACTTGCACAAACTTTTACTCAATTTTCCGTTGTCTTGTAAAAAGTAAACCATCCTAAGAACTTTGCTAAATAATGGCTCATACATACTGTTTTGGTTGGTGAAAAACATCTCTTGACGCCAATTAAAACACAAGATTGTAATTTTATTAATTTTAAGAGGTAGAGGCTTTATATGCAAATATGGTAATAGTTGCAGAATGATATACAATCATATTAAAATGAGACAGAGACTCAAGTTCAACAGCTGGAGCATTTCCAGCAACTTGTGTTGATGTGAAAAAGTGTTTTGTTGTGAAAATACATTTTTGGATCTTGTCTAAAGGAGAAAGAGTGTTATTAGAAGAACAAGGACATTTACAAAACTATTGTTGTATGTAGTGGTGTATGCATATATTTTTTTTAATTGAACCTTTATTTTGCTTTTTTATATTTTTCTACGAAAATTTTTTTCTCTCACTCTATCCTTTTAAACTTATGTCATTAAGATTTTTTTCTTAGCCTTACTCCTTTAATATTTTTGTTCTGATTATTGTTATTATTATTTCTTTTTTTTTATTACTTGTATTATTGTATTTTACTTTCTTTATTATTTCCTTGTCCTAATATTTTTTTATTTATTTTTTTATTTTATTGTATTACTAAAATAAACAAATAAATAAAAAAGATATTAAGTTAAGGAAATAATAAAGAAAGTAAAATACATTAAAATACATTAAGTCATTAGTGTCTCTCTATTGACTAGTTTTTAACTATATGAGTGACACCGAACCTAACTTTGTAAATTATAATTAAAGTTTTAATTTTTAATTTTATGGTTAAATCTGCCAATGTCAGAGTCTGTTTACCAGTGATGTAAGTGCAGTTAAAAGGGCTACTAATTGCACAATTGTTGGAAAATTAATTGGAACATTTCATTAGTAAATGGTATTTATTATGAAAATGGCTTGACTAATACTCTATAGACCACAGTAAAGGACACCATAGCATTTGTCACTGAAACCTTGATGGTCACAACCCTCTCGGGGTGTGACCATCAAGGTTGAGAAGTTAAAACCCAATTTGTGGAAAAACTGCCATTTTGTGTAGGTATAATCTGTTACCTTGTACCAAGCCTATTAACTTGTGAGTAACAGTTGTAGAGCTCTCCATAACTATGAATGGTGTATAAGTTTTATACTATAAAACACAATTATAATTGCATCTATTTACATGCTGTTTAGTTCTATGCAGGACAAGGACAGAAAAGATGTCTATGCAGGACAAGGACAGAAAACAGAAAAGGACTTTGGATTTGTATGTGTTTTTTTAGTGGCCTTTATTCTAGAGTATAATTAATGATGATTGATAAAATACATATATGGATGGTATAAAGGCTAAGTGGACTAACCCTTCAATTTTTGGTTTTTATTATTATTGTGTTTTGTTAATAATATAGGTTATTGTTAAAAACGCACTTTTATTAATGGGCTAACCCATCCAACCTGTAGCAAAGCAAAGGTGGACTAACCTGTCCACATTTCCTGAACAATTTCGAAAATTGAGGTTAGTCCACTTGGCCTTAACATCATCCATATATAAAGTGTGTTTAAAGTATTTATAAATAAATATTTTATAAGTGATTTAAGTTTATAGCTAGTTTAAAAGCAAAAATGTTTGTAGACTTGATGGAATAGCTGCTGAAGCTATTAAATATTGGGGCCAATTACGGTCTGTGTATTTATCATTATTTAATATGTGTACTGCTTACTGCTATTTGACTTTGAATGCAAATAATTATTGTGCTACTGCTTAAAAGTAAATCTGGAAAAATGAAAACTATCTATTTGCTTCTTTTCTTGATTTAAGCAAATTGTTTGACTGTGTCAGTTATATAACTATGTTTAAGAAACTAACTTCATTAATTTTTCCACCTTACTTGGTTAAGTTGGTAATACTTAGGTATGTTAACCAACAGATAAATATATGTTGGAAAGACATTGTGCTGTATTTTATAAAGTAATGAATAGGTACCTATTGTTCTATTTGTTATGCAATTTATTATATAACTAGCTAGAGAGGTCAGACCAATATACTACTGTGATCAAAAAGTAAGGTGAATTTTTAATTTAAACTTCCCGCCTTATTCGAATCGTCCAATCTTTTTTATTTTTAAGTTGGAATGTCATTAACATTTGCGCCAAATTACATGTCAAACTCATAATTTTTTTTTTTTTTGTTTATGCTTGTTGCTGAAGTACCAAAAGTGCATTTGGCGATTTTCGCAATGTCTAATTTTGTTGAGCAAAGAAGTGCTATTAAATTTTGTTTGCGGAATGATATTTCTGCTGCTGAAACGTATCGAATGTTGCAAAAGGCCTTCGGTGAAGAGACTATGTCTCAAAAAAATGTTTACAAGTGGTACAAAGACTTCAAAGAAGGCCGAGAACGTGTTGATGACTTGGAACGCTCCGGACGACCATCGACTTCGATTGATGATCGCCACATCAACAAAATTGAAGAATTGGTGCTTGCAAATCGTCGGTTAACCATTCAAGACCTTGTTGACATGGTTGGAATATCATTTGGGTCGGTGCAAGCGATTTTGAAGGATCATTTGGGCCTCAGAAGACTCAAATCACGTTTGGTGCTGAAATTTCTCAATTTCTTTGAAAAAGAGCGTCGCGTTAAAGCGTGTGAAGCAATGCTTTCTGACTATCAAGACGTCTACAAACAAATTATTACTGGCGATGAGACTTGGGTCTACGCATACGATCCTGAAACAACCGACCAATCGAGTGAATACCGTGAAAAAGGCGAGCCGAGACCGAAGCAACCACGTCAAAGTTGCTCAAAAATCAAGGTCATGTTGACTGTTTTCTTTGATTATTGTGGTGTCGTGCACTACGAATTCCTACCAACTTGCCAAACTGTCAACAAGGAATATTATTTAAGCGTTATGCGACGTTTGGGTAAAGCTATTCGCAAAAAGAGACCGGAATTATGGGCCAATAACTCTTGGATTTTGCACCACGATAATGCGCCTTCGCACACAGCACTGGTTCTTCGTGAGTTTTTCGCCAAAAACTCTACCCATGTTGCTCCACAACCACCGTATTCGCCCGACTTAGCACCGTGTGACTTTTGGCTGTTTCCAAAGTTCAAGAGACCACTCCGGGGAAATTGTTTTGAGTCCATTGAAGAGATCCAACATGAATCGGCACGCGCATTGAAGGCTATCCCTACCGAGGACTTTTCGGCATGCTTCGAAGACTGGAAAAAACGTTGGCAAAAGTGCATTGGGGCCGGGGGGGATTATTATGAGGGGGACAATACAGATTTAGAAGAATAAATAAAGATTTTTCATTTTATAAAAAAATTTACCTTACTTTTTGATCACAGTAGTATAAAATTTTTAAAAACTACATATCCCATTTTCTAGCAAGCAGAAAAATAAGATTCAGTCAAGCATTGTTTTAAATAGTTTAGAGAGTATAAATAGAAGAGAACACTTTTGAAGAACACCTATAACACCATCTATGTGACACCTATAACACCATATAACACCAAGAACACCTATAACACCATCTATGACAGAAACTTTTTTTGGAGAACACTTTTGACTACGATAGAAAATTTTGTTAGAGTTAAAGGAGTTAAGACTACAAGCTGTAAAAAAGTGAGAAGCATTTTTAGCAGCATAAGCCATGTTTTTCTGGGATGTTGGGAAAGCTCAAGAGATCAATTAGAAGAAAAATTCTTTGCCAACAATTCTGGGTTTTTTAAAAAAATTACAAAATTAGGCATGTATAAAAGATTTTATAAATTTATTAACTATTTAAACATCATTCATTTAGATCTCCGTTCTTAATAGTTGATGTTAATTTCATGCTAAATTACAAACATGGTTTAACAGCTAATTGTTCTCCCAATTTTGAGAGATTTTTTGAAATTATGTGTCCAAAGTTTATAACCTGCAAAACATTCCAAAATGCAATTTAGGATTTTAATTGAGAAGTATTCTGAAAGAAACGGTCTATGAAATAAACTGGCCAACAAAAATTCTAAAATAACGTCGTATTAGGATAAATAGTTCCCTCAAGAAATTTGACAAGTATTTCGCAAAAGATGTTGCTTATTTAACTCGTCCTCGAATCAGGAAAACCAAAAATAATAGTCTGACAGAAGAAATTTAATTCTAAAACTATTAAAGAAATACTCTTTATAAATACAATATCTATTTTGAAAACATTGGGAAGCAGTTGAATAGCATTTCTATTAAACCCCCTTAATAAAAATCCTCTTTCGTAGTTGATAATATACATATTGATTTTACAAAAGTGTTTTGCGTTCAAAGATTCGATGATTCACTGAATTGTGCAATTCGCACTACTTATCGCAACTGGCTACGTTCTTCATCGATGCACGAGCCTAGAGATCCACCGTTAAAGTTGTCACTGACATTCATTTTATTTTTGTTTTGTAACCGTCTTTTTCTTCTCTTGTTTAGAGGGGAAAAAAATATTTTTCTTTTCTCTGAACAAGAGGAAAAAAAAAACAAATGTATTTTAACAATTTGTTTTGTCTTTTGTGATGATATATTTTTAGCTATAAAAAATCTGCTATTTAGATGAAGATGGAACAACAGTCAATTACTTAAGCAAAATTATTGAAAAAAGACGTAAGATTTAATACTTTTGAAAAAGTTGTCAAAATTTTTATTTAGAAATACATATGTCCAAATTCCAATGTTCGAAAATCTTTAACAGTTGCGATACTTGGAAAAGATTCACAAAGCCTTTTAGAGGACACTAAAAAGGTGAGTTTTTGGTGTTTAACTGCTGCGTTTTTATATGTATTATTATGTATAACTAACTTGTATTTTACAACGTTTTTCTAACCTTGATTTCTTGTGTGTGTGTGTTAGTCCGTCCGGTTAGAATCTTTGAAGCTATATTTAACCCACTTCCCGACTAGCTAGAGCTCTGAAACTTTCAGGATAGCTCAGAACCCGATGACAATGCAATTTAAAATCATTTTCAAGCTTCGGCAGTGAATATTTCTCTCAATTTCCACAAAATAAAATTTTATATATAAAAAAAATAAATATAGACCTTAGTGAGCACTTAAAGAAAAAATTTGTAACGGACAAAAAATATTTCAAATAAGTACGTTCAGTACGCGCATTGAACAAAAATTTAGTAAACAAATAAATAATAGGCCGGGTGAATAAAAATAAGCAATTACTTTTACTCGGTAATTGGTCAGCTTTACGTGAATAAAAACTTCACGTAAAGTTGAGCAATTACTGAGTAAATTGCTTAACCTTACGTGAATAAAAATTTGTGCAAAACTGCCAAAGTTTTTATTCATATAAAGCTGACCAATTACTGAGTAAAAGCAATTGCTCATTTTTATTCACCCTGGCTAATAAATAGTGTAAGTGTTAAAAATAAATATTGCAATAAAAATCTAAAAAGTAAAAAATAATCAACAAAATTTTTTTTTTCTAAAAACAACGTTTTTCAAGCCAACTAAAAATTAGAGAATAGTTTTTCTTTGAGCTTGTGAGAATGTCAGATTATATTCCTTTTATGATGATGACAGATTTTATAACAAATTTGATACACGTAAAATGAAAAACGTTGGGCGCATGTTATAAAGATAAATAATTGGTGATCGACCAACACTTAATGGTTTCGTTAATCATATATCAGTGCAATATATCTCCACTGATCATTAAAATGGCCAACTATATTTAAATTATAATAGTTACACTTAAATACATCCACACAAACAAAGCATTAAATCATATGTTATACTGAATAATGTCATAATATTATCAAATAATTTGAGTAAAAGCTTAATTAAATTTGCGTAAAAGTGTATACTGATATATTGCATTATAAATGCAATTTTATTTAAAACTAATTGATAATTTGTTTCCATATTTTATGTCATATACTTCTTATAATTTGAAAATGGGTATTAATATGAAATATAGTGTTATTTGAAAAATCGGTTTAAATTTTTTACTAACAAGCTAAGCTTCTTTCATACAATTTTCAAGGATACGAAAAAAAATTTAATTTTGAGTCGTCCTCGGTGTAGTTAAGACGATTTACAAATTATTCGAATACTTTTATTTGGAATTAGCATGATTTTATCAGCGTGTTATGTCTAAACAAAAGCTTTAGATTGTATAATTTTTTTGCTTCAGGTTTTTTTAATATTTAAAGAAACTTTTCTTATTTATATATAATTTTCAAAACCTTTTTATTTACCCGTCATAGTGAATCTAAAGAACACTACTTTGGAGTCTTTAGATCAATTGCGTTCATCGGCGTTAACATGAATTTAGTTGAAATCTTTTTAAAAAGTTCTTTAATTTACTACTGATCCTAGTTCTAATCGGTTCTGACGTATATTAACTGTATATAGTTGTCAAAACACAATATTTCTATCAATTTTCGCAAAAAAATACTAGAATTCCGACCTAAAAAGAGCTTATAATTAAGAAAAATTGCCAATAAACGATCAGAACAGATATATTGTTAAGTATTACCGAATACTCGATACTTCTCATTTATCAGGCAGGTGTTCGTCGTTAAAAGAAATGACAATCTAATTATCTAAATCATTTTATGGAACAATGATTGAATAATCAACAATTTTTGAAAAACAGTTTGTTTTAAATGAAATATGTAGATGGTCAGTCGAACTACTATAAAAGTTTGGAATGGCTTTAACCCACCTAAGTATGAAGAGATAAAAGAATTTTTCTTGCAACGCAATTTGCATTGGGATTTTCGCGCCTAACTTTTGTGAATCAATGGAGGTATTTAAATGTCTTCATTTTGACAATAAAAAAGTCATGAAATGATTTTTGTTGTCAAATTAAAAAGAGCGCTTTATACAAAAAATGGGATTGATTGCACCCAATCGCCCCCATGGTTTGCCCATGGCATGAAACTATCGGTCAATATATCAGGTTTTTTTACACTAGCCTTTTTTTTGTTAAAAATTTTTTAATAAATTTTAAAAATAAGAGCAGCTTTGTTTAACTTTTATTCTAAAAGTTATGGAAAAACTATGTTCATGTTTTATCAATGGTAGAGCCGAGGTAGTTGTATTTTATTCATTAGAACCTTGGAAATAATTACCAGTAAAGGTTTTCTTTATTTGTAAATATATTTGAAATGCTTTGTGGATGTATTTGTGATGTTTAAATTGGCTTTGTGAGAGCTGCAACTAATTTCAAAATAGAGTTGCAAATACACCACTCAGACTTATGTTTCTTGTCAGGGGTAAACCCTGGGCTTTCTCTATAAAAATTTGTTTCTCTATTCTCTTCCCCAAGCGCTTGCAAATACGATTTTAACATTTTATTTCTTGTAATATTTGTTGTAGCTCACTTTAAACATTTTATTGATCGTAAAAACTTTTTTAATTATAGAAAGACTGGGTGCTTATCGATGACGTATTGCATTTCAAGTCAGGACTAGGCCTATATCCTTTAGTACTTCCTTATGGCAATGAAATTAAATTGTTAGGGACATCAGTGAAATCATAGTTATAACTTTTATTTGTATATATATAAATTTTTTAGAAAAAATTGTTATTAAGTTTTTGTTTTTTTTCCGTTTTAGTAATTTTAATGAATCCTAAAAGTAGGAATTATTATTAGAGAGTTATTAGAGAGCTAGACTTTAGGGCTGTGTTTACTATTTATACTAACTAATAAATATTATTTTACAAAATATATTTTAAAATTGTTCTTGTTTCCTGGTAAACGAGGTTAAAAATACTTAAGACGAAGGTTTTTTACATTCGATGATGGTTTATTTAATGTACTAACTACCCAGTTTATGTTACTTAATTTAGTATTAATTCTTTGTTTAATTTTATTATTAAATTTCTTGATTGATTAAATTATTATTTATCTAGTTATTAATTTATCTGGATTTCAGTTAAATTATTTATAACTATTATTAATACACTAATATTTACCCTATGGATGGAAAAGAAAATAGCAGTCCAATTGAAAAACAAGGGAAAATGTTAAAAAAGAATAAAATGCTTTTAGTTGAAAGAAATGAATCTACAACAAGCATTTCCACTTCTCTTAATTTATCTAAGTGCACAGTTCAAAAACTTGTCGTTAAGTTAAACAGAAGAGAATTTGACGACATGACTGCATTCAAGTCGTTTTCTAATAAAATATGAGGTAAAACACTTATAAACGCGGATATAAAGAATATTGTTAAATTATTTGTACAAAAAAACAAACCATAACAAGCGCCGGTGCTTGTTATGGACAATTGTAAATTCCTCTGGTGTCTTTCTGTTAGGCAAACACTAGTCTCTAAAATTTATGGGAATATCATAAGACCAAGCGTGAATAAGGTGTCATTAAGCTTTATTAAAAAAACTCTGTGTCAACACGCACGAATGGGTAAGAGCAGCATTAAATTCAATATTAAAATATTATAAAATTAAACAAATGCATTTGTAAAAAAATACAAGATGTCTCAAACTCATACAGTTAACGGGACATAAAATTCTAATGCAACATGCACATTAACGATCCAATTATAGACATTATTATTTTTAGAGATTGCTCTAAAACGAATGATTTGACATAGCGGATTACGCTTTCCAAGCATTTACAATGGTCTTATGGAGTGCGAAAAACTAGCATGCAACACAGCAAAATACAATAAAAACCCCAAAAGAATATTTGAAACTTTAAGTTTCGAAAATGGAGGAACGAGCACCAAGTTTGGGAACCTTAAAATTTAAACTGGCATTCATTACAATCGTTTCAGCTTATTGACCAGCTCCAGTTTAAATGTTATAAACCTGATGGAACAGCAATAAGGTTTAGTGAAGCTTTTCTCGTATTTGAAACTCGAGAAAATTATTGCTGCAGTTTAAAGTAGAAACAAACTATAAAATATTAACAATGGAAAAAAGTGAAAAAATGTTTGTATCCAGTGCTACTTAATGCACCAATGGTAGAAATACCACTCCAGCCTATGCCAGACACTTCCTCAACATTGCGCTTTCAAATAGCACTGTCATATGCTCATAGGGTTAATGAGCTTGACGACGAATTCCAAAAAAAAGTTTGTCGTAAAAAAATTTTTAAACGTCTATTTATTGCTATACCAAGTTGTAATAAAACATATTTATTAGTTGGATTTATTAGCAGCAGTCTCGTAGGGACAAGCTTTTGAGCTCCTGTTGGTATCGGGCTCGTTGGGGCTGGCGCTGGATGTGGGGTTATTTCAGCTTTACTCAGATTTGTTAAAAAAAGATTAACAGCAGCTGCAAATGCTACCACAAGTTATATACTATATATATATATATACTTGTAGATATTTTAGCCATTGAAACTGGATCATCTCTCCAAGAATTAATTTCTCGGGCTTTGAGGGGCCGTCCATAAAAGATGCCACTATCTTTTAGACAATTTTGACCCTCTTCTCACCCCTCCCCTAACTCCCTATGTCACCGTTTGTTTGTTTTTTCCAATAACCCCCTAAAAATGTCATAAAATTAGGCCCTCGCATTTTTTTAATATTCTTAACTCGTTCTTAATTTAGACCTTTTTAGTGAAATTTTTCACATGAATTACATTTTTCTCCGTTTGAATATCATTAAATTGCATATTGGGTATTTCCACGTTTGTTTCAGCTGTTTGCTCTTGTAGGCTTTCTTAAAAAAAATTATATATTACTCTTATTCTATTTATTAAGTTTAATCAAAGTGGCCTCACTCTTTATCTATCCAAGAAAGTGTGTCATGCGTACTTCTCTCACTCTTTATCTATCCAAGGATTTTTTAAGTATTTGTCAGTTGATGTGATTGGAATATTAAGGCTCTGCGTTTCATGTTCGTCCTCATCAAATCATTTAGCAAAGTCCGCGTTCTTTTGTATCATAATTACAGCCAATAACTCTCTTTTGCGCTTGGTGGCAATCCGAACAGATTTAACTCGCTAAGAGTAATAGCTATTTAGTTAATAAAATTGGAATGAGTACTGCTGAAAAGCTTTTTGAGCTTGACTTGGGAGGCAAAGGGCAAGTTACAAGCGCATGTTGAAAGTTTTTCATTCTTAATGTTTTTAAAATTCGCAGTGGTAGCAAACTTGCTAGCGTTTTTTTTTTAACACCGCCTGGAGATAATGCGAGAATGCTTAAACTCACTACTAATGTTTGAGAAAAAAAATATGCTCTGTAATGATTGCTGCGCAACCAATTTCCTTTGGAAAATCATTTGTATTATTTGCTTTAGACAATCATTAACAATTGCTACACAACCAATACCTTTTTGAGATATATTTGTAATACTCAATTTAAAAAATCATTAGTGATAGCAAAACTAAGTTAGTAGTTTCGCTTCTCAACTTTTGATACAAATTTAATATATATATATATATATATATATACATATATATATATATATATATATATATATATATATATATATATATATATATATATATATATATATATATATATATATATATATATATATATATATATATATATATATATATATATATATATATATTAGGGTGCATCAAACGCCCCATACTTTCAAAAATTGATCTGTCCCTATTTTTAAAACTTTCTATTGGTACTCACAAGACACTCTGTTAAATTTTTTCAAAATTGAGTGAGATTTAGGGGGGTCACCTCAAATCTGAAACTTGCAACGAGACCCTAAACAGAAGAAAAAAAAGTTTTTCAAATGTGTCATGTTGGGTCTCAAAAGAAGCGAAATTTTATAAAAAAATTTCAAAAACAATAAAAATTTTACATAATATTTATTATTATAAGTTTTATTGCATAAAAATTATTTTTTAGCAAAAAATTTAAAAAAGCCATTTTTCATGGTTTTTGGTCGAAATTTTTTTAAAGGTATTTTCAACAAAAAATCATAACTATTTTTGAAATTTTTATAAAGTTTCACTTCTTTTGAGACTCAACATGACATACATTTGAAAAACTTTTTTTTCTTCTGTTTAGGGTCTCGTCGCAAGTTTCAGGTTTGAGGTAGCCCCCCTAAATCTTATTCAATTTTGAAAAAATTTAACAGAGTGTCTTGTGAGTACCAATAGAAAGTTTTAAGAATAGGGACAGATCAATTTTTGAAAGTATGGGGCGTTTGATGCACTCTAATATATATAGAATAGAAAAGATGCTGTACACACTTGTGTAGAGTCTTGATTACGTGGAACTAAGACTATGACGGACCTTTACAAAATATTGTGTTCAGAAACCCAAACATTTATCAACGATATTTTAAAAAAGATTTAAATTATCTTTATCTATTATCCATTGAGGAAGAGAATTCCAATCGTTTCTAACTCTGTTTGTGAAGAAATGGTGACGAATTCTCGAATCAGTAAATTGTCTGTGTATTCTACAATTGTCACTTCTACTTGATTGTTCTAGCTCAAAATTTAATGGAGGATGGTGAAAATTAACAATATCTTTTCCTTTTGAGATCTTATACATTTGAATGAGATCACTTCTTCTTCTTCATGCAAAGTTGGCAATTCAAGTATCTTTAATCTTTCTTCATACAATTTCCCCCTAAAGATTTGATTCTAGTAGCCCTGTGTTGTTCAAGATTATCATTGCCCTTCATCCAAAATGGACTCTAAACTGCTGCGCCGTATTCCAAATGAGGACGTACTAACGATTTGTATAGTAACTTTAATGAAAATTCATCGAAATACTCAAAAGAGTTTTTGATAAAATTTTCTGTTTGCTTTGTCTATATCTGATTTAATAGGATATTTCAACTCTAGATTATTTGAAATGAAAACCCCAAGATCTTTTTCGATTGTTGTTTCTATTAAAACAGAGTTGTTCAATTTATATTCATATCTAGGATTCTTTTTACTAATACACATGACTTTACATTTTCATTCATTAACTTTAATTAACCAATCTTCAGACTATTTTACTAACATATAACAAAAAAAAAAATTTCTGTTGCCGTGCAAACAATTAGTTTTTTTTATAGCATTTCTCATTTTGATTTTAAATATGCAACTCATTTTTCACCATCGCGTCAAGTTGTAAAGATATTTGGGTTCAAATCTTTAGTATTTGGGGAATATTGTCGAAAAAAAATTATTCAAAAGTATGTCAACCCGGGTCTCAAAAGAAGCGTATTTCTATAGATTGGTGGTACAAATTCAAAACTGTATGATTGCATACTTACAAATAATTTAATCTGAAAATTGTACCTTCCTTACTAAATTGTCTGCATCCTCTAAATCGAAAATTATAAAAACTGCCCCCCTTACGACATGGTCTAGATCCGCCCTTGGTCACAGTGAAATATACTGACTTAAATAGGGATAGACATTGTGAAGTGTAAATACATCGACAGAATTAAATAAGCATAGGCGCAGAGTGTGTACATTCTTTGACTCCCTTAAATAGTAGTGATAGACCGAAATAGAAAAAAAGCCGAAATCGAAATAAACCGGAATTTCGGGTACTCAAATTTGGTGCCGAAACTGAATATTTTAACGAAATTAAAATCAAAATTTCGGTTTGTGAAAATTTATTTTATTAGAAAAATTTATTTAAAAATGCAT